CCCCCCCGGGACTTTACTAAGGTGGTGTGGCAATGAAATGAGAGAATACCTGGGATTAGGTTGCAGACACCCCTTAATTACAACAACCACAAGCTTGCTACATTAATGCAGAATCCTGTCTCCTAAAGAAGTCTCTTTTGCAGCCGGCATGGATGAGCTAAGTTAGCTCCAATCTACTCAAAAAGGCGTTTGCAACACGACAGCATGCCTTTCTTTCCATCATCGCGTATTATGACATTTTTGCTCGGGCATGCGCACAAATCAAAATTTTGAGATCAATTTTGGATGAGAAAGTAACCTACGTTTTTTGCTTTTCCTTTTTCTCCTTTTCTTATCTTTTTGCTGCAGTTGTTGACCTTCTCCTGGGCTAGCTTCCAGTTCACGAATTCCCGAGAAAGCATCATCGCGACGTAAAATTCTTACCACGGAGTTGCCAAATGTAGCTGAGGGAAATTTTGCCCCGAGTTTTTCACTGAAATTTCTAAGCATTTTTGTGCATATTTCACGCTCAGTTGACCCAGTCACTCTGATCTGGATATCATTGGAAAGATTTTTTCCTCCTTCAGAACTTGAGTATAAGTGATGCCAATTTTCGTCGAAGGTAATGACGTCAGAAGTGTAACAGTGGCAAACGCTCGTCACGGCCTGTTACAGCCAGCACAGACGACGATGGGGCCTTAATATGGGAGGAGTGTGTAGCCGCGATTCCCTCCGTTATTTTTGTACTGCTTCCCTTCTAACTGAGCTCCTGTAACAGGCTAGGCGTTCCTGCCACCATTTTCCGGGTGTTTTTTAGTCAAATACGTTTTTATATGCATTTCACGTGACTCTGAGATCTAAATCAACCCTGATATCGGCGTCTTGGAACACCTTTTTGAGTGAGAGGGGCTGTGATGCAAAAATGGCAGCACCCGAGCCGCAGTCGTTTCCGCGGATTAACCAATCACAGCTTGCCTCACATATTCCTGAGGCGTCGCGGCAAGGACTAATTGTCCAATCACAAGTCGTGTTCTATCGGCGATTTAGTGGGGGAGAAGCGTTGCGTGACGAAACTGCGAAGGAGGCAATATTTGTAACGGACATAACGGCTCAATTTTACGGGAGAGAGGGCGATGGAAAACATAACATTTTAGTACCTTAAAGAATCTGTGAGCCTGAGCATCATCAATTTTTTTGGACAAATAAACTATCAAAAATTCCTGTTTCACTTTCTTCAAACATGAAACATCGACATGTCGAGTTGATTTCTGTAGTTTCTTAGGAAACTGAAAATGTAAGCAAAGAAGACACTTTTATGCCCCATGTTCCAGTGGTCTCCAGTTTTTCAGCCGCGAAAATGAACGAGTCATCCATATTTATAATATCAACAGCTGTCGACAGATTGCCGAGCAAACAGGTGGATAGCTAGATAAAGAAAATCTATCTTGAACTAATGACGCCGAAAACACATTAGGTATACCGTAATAACTAACCCCCAGTGGAACAATCCCTGTAGTAGAAAAATATTTATGAATAAAAGTGGTTTTAGTGATTCCCATTCTGTCTCACTACAATGCAAGACAACTCCAAACAACTTTCCTAAGAAAACAACTGAAATGAGTGCTTTATATATGCGATAGATGGTTCAAGATAGAAAGCGACCGAGAATGCCTAGATTTTATTTTATAGATTTTCTTGTTTCAGTTTATAATATAAGTCAATTCGTATCATGCTGCACACTTTTCAAAACACACAAATTTCAATGGTTTCTTTTGAATTATCCAGACAGCATGTGGGCTTTGAGTTTTCTTTAGCTAATGGAAATCAACTGTTCTGTTCCTGAAATGCTTTTTCACATCACATAGCCCTGCGGCAATGATGACTTTAAACACTTCTGACTAAGTTATTCTGAAACTTTCTTCCGAGAAGAAACTCTTTAAGTTCTCCTGTAAATTCTGGTACTCTAAGATGCCAATTCGCTGTTTTTCCGATTCTCTCGTTATAAATACTATGAATTTTGACTTCGGAAAAAGTTTGTTTTTCTAACTCAGTTTCCTTTCCTCCCAAGTTTTACAGCTTTGTTTCTTACAGATTGAGAAGTAAGAAGGAGAGAAATTTGAAAATGTGATGGAGGGACAGTTTCGAGTTTCCTTTATGTTTTGTTATATTTATGTTACGTCAGTAATATATAAACAAACTCAGGTTTTCAGCATTCTATCTATAAAAAGATGTATCAAAGCTATCTATAACCTGTATTTCGGTAGAAATAGGCAAACAAAAAGCCGCTCATACCCAGAAGAAAAAATCCACGCGAAAAGATATACACTGAACAATTAAAATATGTCGCTCATTCAAAATTGATCTGCATTTTCTTTCCGCGTGCAGTGACTCCTAAAACGCGATCTTATTGGCTGAACAGAGTCTCACCCCTTAGGCAAATATATACAATTCGAATTTAAATGGCTTGTCTGCATTTACGACTAGGCAGGTGCGGTGAAATTTAATACGACAACACAAAACGCGCTTGATTCTATCCACAGAACTAAAGCTGCTCCGATTTTAAAAACCAACTAAGATCTGAACATGTCAAGGAAATGCCCAACTTGTGAAAAGACCGTCTATATGGGTGAGAGATGAATTTTCAGCGAGCATTTATCCTCCTTTCAGCTTTATTTTGACTTTGACAGGCGCAGTTAAATGATGATTTTCGCGCGCGTTGCAGCGTAGCTTTCAAGAAATGTCAACGAACGATCGCTGAAAAAATATCGCTTTTGATTTCATCAACGCTCCGATCGCTTTAGTAAACAATTACTGGGCGACATTAGGAAATATTCTCTGGTTTTTTTTGCCAAAGAATCAAAGATATTGTTTTTTTTGATCTCATGTGCCTGTAACCTCGTGTTTCACAGGTGAAAAGAAAGAGTCGCTTGGAAACTGGTACCATCCTTTGTGCCTAAAGTGCAAAAAATGTGGAAGACAGCTTGCTACAGGGAGTCACGCCGAAGTAGATTACTGTACTCTTCCTTATACACTATATGAGTTTCGTATTTTTTCCGTAATAAACCCACAGCATTCAGTTTTTTGCACTGCCCAGTAGAGTGACAACAGCTTACCTTTGTGTTATATTAGTACTAGCTAGTACTATAACTCGCACATGACATAACACGAAATGGCAAAGCTTCAAGCGTTTGCTAAACCCTTACTTCTTAACGTAAATTGAGGTGGGCCAACAATCTCATTGAAATGAGCGGTAAAATATCACGACTGTTAGTTGATATTCAAGGAAAGAAACGATTACAATTCTTGTCTGGATTGCTAGTAACGTTAATACCGAAAGTACATATCACGAAAGTAACGAAAGTAACATTAATGCCCCGTCCACACTCCGCCGGAGAAATTTGAAAACGCAGCTTTATTGAAAACGACGGCTTTGCGCCTTAATGTGGAAGGACGCCATTTTGAAAATGGAGCTTTTCGAAAACGTAGACATCACGATAATAAAGTCATTTCCCTAACCGATTTTTCCTCAAACACAAATCCAGTTGACCGGTGATTGTTGCGTTTTCAAATTTCTCCGGCGTATAGTCAGTTCCAGGTGATCGCTGCGATCGTTGCAAAAATGTTGAGAGATCCGCGCGACTATCAGTTACCATATAATCGGTACAATCGCTACGAACGTCGAGATAGAACTAATCTTTCTCAGCGATCGTTGTTGCAACGACTGCTTCGATCGCTGGAGGGTGGTTTCCGGTGATAGGATCCCAACAGTCGCTGAACCTTTTTTTTTGTAGCGATCAGAGATCATCATATGCTTCATATGGAAAGCAGCTTTCACTTAATTTCTTGCAGTTCCCAGCAATTAGACAAAGTAAGGCCGTTCATCTCGCTTTGCATGCACTTAAGCGCAAATGTGTAGAATCTTGTCACTCAAAACCTTTTGACACAATAATAACGAGGTACACAGAGCCTCAAAAAAATATTTTTTGAATAAACACAGATCGATAAACACGGCTAGACTGAAAACAAAACGCTAATATTTTAGAAATTGACAAAAATTATGTATCTGAATCGAATCTGAAAACTTTGACCGTTGCTACTTTCGTATTTTTACTTCTTTCAACGTACCCCCAACAATGACCTGGCACGTTCGATATGTCAATATTCTAACATGGATCCGAGGCTTCCGGGTCAAAATTGCAATTTTTTAGAGTTTGTTTCATCTTTCAATTCCCAAATACGGATACGAAGGAACGTGGCCTATTTGTACTTTTGCGCATAATAGACCTTTTTCGCTTGGGCGGTTTGCTTTCCCATTACAGACCACGTGATATTCTCTAGAGAATTGTTCTCTTATCCATCTTAAAATTATTTATTCATATGCACACGACTATTTGAAAATTTAAAAGGGAAAATTCTCAAGAGTATTATCACATGGCCTGAAATGGGGCAACAAACCACCCAGTCGAAAAGGTCTATTATTTTCTCTTATATTCATTGATTGATCTTTTTTTCTTTGCTTTCAGCGTAAGGGTCAGCCGTATTGTCATAACCCATGCTACGCTTCACAGTTTGGACCGGGAGGGTTTGGGCACGGTGGAACAGAATCACACAAGTACTGACACGTGACAAGTGTTGAGTACGTCACCACTCTTTCATAACTGTAAACTACAGGTATCTCAGAACGGTCGCCATTTT